GATGTGGATATGTCTTGGTTTCACAGATGGCATTGAAATATGTACTCTTTCCTAAAATCTGAGAGGAAGTTAAAGGTAGACACAGGTGACTATGAAGCAATCAGTGTTTGGCATGTGCTAATTCTGAAAAGAGAGCACAAAAAGGTCTGATTAGGCACTAGGCCAAAATGTAGGATGTAATTAAAAAATAGAGAAATTAGCTGGCATCCTATCTGGCATGTGAAAATGTCTGATAGTCTGCATTAAAACAAAAGGATTTATGAGAACAGTTATTTATAATTATGCTAGGATTTTATTTTATTTCAGAAGAGGCCTATTATGTTGCCTAAAGACAGCTGAATGGTTTTGTATTTATTATATGTATCCATATAAAATAAAGTAAGTCCAGCAAGAAGAACTACAGAACTAGTGAAATTGTGCATTCACAAAATAAATTATTAAATTCTAACCATGTTTGCAACATTTTTGTTTCACTTGCTCTGAATATTCCAGCAGAGGAACTTCACTAGCAATACAGCCCACAAAAATGGACTGTAAACGTGGATCTTGGGTAAATAAAGACTGACTGGAAGAGTTTGTACAATCTGCATACAAACCCAGTAAATAGGATTTTTAGACCACAATTCCACTGTTAGCTGAGTTAGGAAATCAAGGAACATAAGGCTGCACTATTCAGTTTATGCAATGTGTTGCAAATTTTAATTATCCTCAATGAATTGTTCAGGAGTAATTTCAGGCTATTCTGTGAATTTGATCTGTTTCCTCAGATTAAATGCCTACTTGTTAAGCTTTTTAAATTTTGTGAAAGACTTGATTAATAAAGTATTAGGAATTATTCTCCCAATTCAGATGTCCATGTCCTTTGGTGTACCTTTCCTAGGTTATATAATTGATGATGGTACTGACCTGACTTGAATAAAGCTCATTGAAAATTAAGAGGACATATGGGTGGTCAAGAATGGCAATATCTAGGAGATACTGTAGTCTTTTACTGCATCATCTAATTGATTTATTTCAATAGGACCTATAAATTCTGTGGGTTACTTTCCTAAACTGGGAAAAGTGGGGGGAAAAAAGTTTCTGTCATAAGTTTGTTTTATCCTACATCTTGACAATTTCACTACAGGATGGACTATCCAAGAAGACATATGGGGAAGATAATAGCAGCCTCTTTCTCAGGACCCTTCAACTGAAATCCAAAATCTTTACACATTTTGATCCCCAAGAGTTTACAAGGCTCTTCACTGCAAAAGGGTAGGTTTGTCCAAGTAAAATTGCATGCTGGAATTTTTTGGAGAAAAAAACTCATCCTGCTGCTTCCTTTGGGATGGTGTCATTTAATTTACTCAGCATCTCTACACAAATAAAGAATTAGTTTTTATGACTTATTTTAAACTGCCGTATTGTATAGTAGCAAAAAGCTAGTGATTATGCAAATTTTTGTAATATAAAACAGCACACATCTTCACACTGAGGAATATGTCCATAAAATTAATGTGAATCATGCACACCCCTAAACATATATTTTATGTATTTGAATATTAAATGTATCATTTAAAACCTTTGCTATTTGAGTGAGTTACAGCATAAAAAATGGATGTCTGCATGAAGGAAAGGTGCCTGTATTTTATCCATTACTTTTTACAATTTGGATATTGGTCGTGATAAAAAAAAATAATGGTTTAATTGTCATATAGACTTATTTTTCAAATATTTCTAATGAAGATAACTGAGAAGAAAAAGGATACAGTCATGTATAACCTTGATCTTATATGCTTCATATTTTAAATATCGAAATTAAAGATAAATTGTTTTAGGTACTGCATGCACAATTTTAGTCTCACCATTCAGAAAAAGAAAACAAATGCAGAGAAATTAGATGTTACTGACAAGTCCTTGAACTTAATTCAAGGATGGAAAGAGATGGAAATCTCTGTGAACCACAGGCTAACACATTTCTTCAAAATATTAAATTTATAAAGAATGTAATAGATATTACTGTATATATGAAAAATATAGTGAGTATAGAGGTTAGATAGTTTAAAACATAGTTGTTTCAGTGGCTTAAAGACAGCCTCAGATCTATGAGATTTCAGCCTACCAAGGTAGACTTCAGTCTACAAGAAGCACTGGTGAAGCTGGATCAAAGTTTTAGAACTCTATCACTATGAAAAGCAGGATTCATGGCTGCCAAATAACATTAAGCATATTTACTGGAGTGTTTAGCACTGATTTTTCCTGATATAAATAATTACTACAGTACAGAACCATAAATAAATCTCCTAATTATTCTTAAAGTAATACAGAAAAAATAAAATATTTTTTCAGTTATAGACATTTAATTAATAATCAAAACTTATGTTTACCAAGGAGCATTATTCACTCCATAGAATTAGAAAAATATATATATATTTCCACTAGAATGCTTTACATACAAACTGAAGCATATTAGCAGAATTTTTTCTAGTTTTTATTGATTTATTTTTCACAGGGGTATGCCTGTTTATTTTAATTAGTTTTCATAGTACAATAAAAAAAGTTCTTTGAGAATTTAGGTTAAAATCAGACTAGTTAACATCTTGCCATAGCCCTGTAAAGGCACAGCAGAGTTCTGGTCATACATAAAATATTCTTTATGTAGTTTTCCTGTGACTTAAATGAAAGACACAAACAACGTGTGTAGAGACAAGAATCTGAGAGTCTCTTGTCCCAATACAGCACTAAACTACAGACAAATCTGACTTTCTTAGCTAAACTGCTTCCTAGCTAAACAGTTGTTCATCTTGATGGCTGGGGATAGGAGATCATGCACTCTTGGTTTTAGCTTTTATCAGCTGTATGTCTTGCAATGGCACTATCTCAGTGTACCAGGCAGAAGTCTCAGGTAACGAAATGCCTTACATGTGGGTGCTGAAAGCAGTACTCTACATAGCTGGTGATAATACAGAGGGACAAAACGATGATCACTGGTGTTTGCCATGGCAACAATGAGGGGTTGTTATCTTACTTAGCAAAGATTACTTTTTTCTGTGATCCTATAATTTTCTGAGTTCTACCATTGATTGAGAATCTTGACCCTACTAATCTAAACAGATGAATTATAATTCTAAATTATTTCATTTTCTGTCTGAGGAATTTGATTTTCCTTATTCTCAGGAATTATCTCCTTTTACAACATCAATCGTTTTAATAGTCTTTTCATATGCACTATTCTTAATTTTTCATACTTATTCTTCAAAATAAGGTTATATGCAAGCATGCTATCTTTGACACTACACAAATTTATTGATGTATTCTTTTTTATTACAAAATGTTATCACAATTTTTTTTTATTCATGGAAACATTTAGTTTAGGACCACAATTGCCATATAAACTTTGTTGCTGGTTGTCTGGTTTTGTTTTTTTGTTTTTGTTTTTGTTTTTTTTTTCAAAACCAGCTGTTTCACTTATGCTACATAATATATTTTTCCCATCCATAGTTGTTATTATCATTTAAAACAAATTACATCCTCAACTACTTTATTCTCCATGTTAAAGATATCCAACAAGAAAAGAATTTTGCTCACACTATACACTGCAGGCTCTGTCCCTCCTGTTAAATACCAAAAAATAGTCCATTGTATGTTATTAACATAGCTGAAAAATCAGTGAGTCAGAATTTTTCATCTCACAGTTTCTAAAGGAAGAATGAATATCACTGGACTATTATCACTTCTATCTTTCCAATTCTCTCTCCATCCCACTGTGGGGCAGTGACTGAGTGGCCTTAGCTGTCTAATGGGGTTAACCCACAGCACACTTTCAACACTTAAGATCTTTTGGCAACTGTCTCTAGGGGTTTTCTTCTTTCTATAAAGATTTAGCCTCAGATGATTCACATACTTTTAGTGGAATAACTGTATGTTGAGCTAATTTGTTTGGATGACCTACTTGACGACGGACATAGCAATTCCTCTTCAAAGTATTTTTGCTAGTATCACTTATGCCAATTCTCTGATTGAAATTATATATGAATACAAATAAGAGCAAGTACTCCTACGATACTTTCCACACAGACATGCCTTCTAGGAGTGTCAGGTTCTTGTTTGCTTTTTATTTAAACAGTCCTTCTAAAGCAGAAAAGCTTTGGCACTGGCACTAGCACTAGCTTGAGTTCCATTTAGTAGATGTTGAAAGTGCTAAATTTGTTGTAGGAGGTTTCTTAGTAAGACAGCTTAAGAATAATAAAACCACTACCCCCATGCCAAATATTTAAGAAAGTAGATCAAAATGACGTTATACAAAGATTTCAGAATTCAGTGAAAGGAAAGCCCAGATACTTTATGGTATTCCTGAAATAAACCGTGCAATATCATGTCAAGATAAGATGCACTGATGCAAATAATATTGGCATATCATAAAAAAAAAAAATAAATCTATATATATATCTTAAAATAAAACTTAGTTCATACTTTAAATATAGGTCCAAATGCTGATAAATAGAGTAGGTGTTTTACCTTCCTACACAAAATGCATTCAAAGCAATAGAACCAAGTAAAGTACTACTAAAGCTGAAGAATGCAATAAGAACCATTCTGTTTGACTTTTGTTATTTAGTTCTTTATAAAATAGTTTCTATAAATTTCTATTATGTTATTTTATACAAGTTGCTAACCATACCAGTAGTTTATATTTTCTTAGTCTGAACAGGCTATTCAGTGTTCTGGTTCATTTTGCAAACTGTAATCCCTGAAAGAATGGGATTCCATTCATTATGGTTGAGAACATGTTTTTGTCTCACAAATGAAACTAATTTTATAAGTCAGTAGGTCAAAAGACATCATCTTAAGAAGCTATTTTAGAAGGGTCTTGTATTAGGTTGGAAGTTGTTCTTTTTCAAATAATAGTCACTTGGAAAGATAGACTTGGGGAGAACTAGGGCCATAAAAGTTTTGTAGGTTGTTTTTTTCTTTCTTCTTTTAAAGACATAACTTCTGCCACAAAATAAAAAGACATCATCAAACCAGATGGATATGCTTTATCAAAGAATAAATAAATAAAGTATTTAAACAAAGATTAGAACCATAAATATAAGGGATTTCCTTAAGGTTTTCATGTTCATGAACAAAGTAGAACATTTATTTATACTGTTACAATAGAGAAAAACATTTTACATTTTAAACAAAGAACAACACTTAGAACTTCACTATAAATATTACATAGAACAGGAAGAAGTAGCACATGTAAATTTTTCTCCTTTTTAGGGAATTCATTGAAGAACAGCAAATCTGTTCTTTATATCATCCTTCAACTGGATTATAGAAGGAGTGAAAGCATATGGCTAAAGCATGTTTAACTAAAGCTATTGCCAACAAAAAGGCAAAAAGACTGAAGAAGAAGGGTCAATACCTGAGCTACAATATGGAGAACATGGTAGCTATGAAGCAGCAGTATCATCAATCACAATCCTGATAATCTCCAGCAAAAAATACGAAAATGAGGAATTTATTCTTTGCATAGGAATTATCTCACTAAAATTTAAGTGTCTTCAATGTATATATAGGCTTTGTGATATGGTCCACCTTGGTTCCCTTTGTGATTAATATAAAGAGGAATGGTTTGTCTCCATTGGGAAATAGGGTGTAATCACCTTATCTGATGTATTTTAGGATGAGATGAACTGCGTTTACATTACTAGAGAAGAACTATCTAGAGCTAGTTCTTCTCTAGCAACAGTAAGTGAATTCACACACCTAGCTCAGCTGGGAAGTTTGGAGAATTATTGTAGGAACTTCATGAAACAGGCAAGGAAATTTTCTGTTGCCTAAACAACCCCTAAAATACAGGTCATTTTTGTCAATGTGCAGGAAGGGTACTGCTGGAAATAAAAGCTTATTTCATTAGACATTATTAGAGTTCTTGCGCAGGTATTTCCAGAGCAGGTAGAACTGGGTCCTGCAGAAGTGATATGTTGCAGACTAAAAAATATACTTCTCCCATGGCACATTTGCATTTCATAGATAGCCTTTTTTACATACTGTATTGGGTTTGCATGGCAAGATTTTGATAGCAAGGGGGCTACAGGGGTGGCTTTTGTGAGAAGATGCCAGAAGCTTTCCCCGTGTTCCATAGAACCAATGCCAGTCAGCTCCGAGACAGACCACCACTGGCCAAGGCTAAGCCCGTTAATGATGGTGGTAATACCTCTGTGACAACATACTTAAAAAGCAGGAAAAAAGCTGCCGGGCAGCAGCAGTCAGAAGAGTGAGGAGGAGTGAGAACATGTGAGAGATACTACTATGCAGACACCAAGGTCCATGAAGAGGGAGGGGGAGGAGGTGCTGCAGGTGCCAGTACAGAGATTTTCTTGCAGCCCATGTTGAAGACCATGCTGAGGCAGGCTGTCCCCCTGCAGCCCATGGAGGTTAATGATGGAGCAGCCCATGGAGGACCCTATGCAGGAGCAGGTGGATATATCCGAAGGAGGCTGTGGCCTTGTGGGAAGCCTGAGGAGCAGAGGAGCAAGCTCATAGCAGGAACTGTGGCCCTGTGGAAAGGACCTATGCTGGAGCATTTTTTGAAGAACTGCAGCCCATGTGAAGGACCCACTCTGGAGAAGCTCATGGAGGACTGTTTCCCGCGGGTGTGACCCCATCCTGGAGCAGGGGAAGAAAGCGAGGAGGAAGGAGTGGCAGAAGACAGCATGTGATGAACTGACTGCAATCCCCAATCCCCATCCCTCTGCACCACTTGGGGGAAGGAAGCAGAGAATTTGGGAGTGAAGTTGAGCCTGGGAAGAAGGGAGAGATGGGGGGAAGTTATTTTAAGATTTGGTTTTATTTCTCATTACCTTACTCTGATTTGATTGGCAATAAATTAATTTCTCCAAGTTGAGTCAGTTTTGCCCATGATCATAATTACTGATTGAACTCTCCCTCTCCATATCTCAACCCATGAGCCTTTTGTAACATTTTCTCTCCTCCTGTTCAGTTGAGGAGAGGGAGTGATAGAACTGCTTGGTGGGCAACTGGTGTCCAGTATACAATACTCAATCACTAAAACTAGTACAAGCCAATTTTCAAAGGAACTCAAAAGCCATTTCTTATCAATGACTCTGGGCTAACTGAAAGTCAAGTTAAGTCAACAAAAATTCCTTCATAGATATAAATAAACTTTCAGTTACACCCTTGATGATTGCGTCAAGAGCAGTGTTTACAAAAAGGCTGATAAGACCCAATACTTAGAAGCTGGCCCTGCTTTGAGTGGGGAGGCCAAAGAAATGACCTCCAAGGGTCCCTTCTGACTTAACCTACTTTGAGCTTATGATTCTATGATTTGAACAACATCAGTAACTCAATTAAGTCTTCCCAAATGACATATGAAATCTAAAATTGGAACCAGAGAAGTAATCCCTAATAAAATATTTCTTAAGAGAAAAAAAGCTTTGATAAAAACAAAATTAACCTCTTAAATCAGCATAAATGTCACAATGGAAAATTCTCATTTATTGATTTTAGATACATCACAGCAGGTGACCTGAAAATTAGATGGATAGATGGATAAGTAAATGTCCTCATATACATTTTTCAAAATTATAGCATGGTCCCATAGTATGATAACAATTAAGCTTATAAAAATTTATAAATAACATTTTAAGTTAAACAGCAAATTTTAGTCCTTGTATTTTTACAAAGGACAAGGTAAGGTGTAAATCAGTCTTAATATTTATCTTCAGAAAAAGAAAGGGGAAGAAAAGCGGTCTTGTAACTGGCTAAGAAAAGATAAATCAAAATAACACACAATATTTGATGCAGCTTGATATGGGACACAGATATGACCCAAATCAACTAAAGGGGTATTCAATACCATATAACACGATGCTTAGCAATAAAATGAGGAAAGGAGGGAGGGTCTGGAGCAGGGGTAGTTTTTCTAAGGTAGGTATTGTTTGGAGACTGGCTGAGCATCCGTCTGCTAGTGGGAGGCGGTAAGTGATTGCCTCTGCATCACTTGTTTTGCTTTGTTTTGTTTCTCTTCACTTACTAAACCTCCTTTATTTTGACCCATGAGTTTTTCTTGCTTCTGTCCTTCCAGTTGTCCCCTCATACCACTGATCATCTCCAAGCCAAAACTCTATTTTAACAGTTCAACTCTGAATTTTTGCATCATCCATATAACATTTAACTCTCAGGTCTTCATAAACATATTGCTCAAGGGCTTCCAAGTTATAACGACTTCCCTGTACTAATCAGGCTTTACTAAAAAGTGTTTCCATCATCACCTTTTCTCCTTTTCAGTGTAATTGAGTGACAGTTTATTATTGTGCTAGAAAACAGGATACAAGGATGGGTTCACAAAGAAACAGCAATAATATTTCAAGATTATTATTTTTTTTCCTGAGCATTTCACCTTTTATTCCATAAACAGTGGCTAAAGTGGAATACAGAGTCCAAACAATGACAAATATCTGCTCTTTCATATCCCCTTTGGAAGCCTAGTCTTTTGACAACTTGCAAGTCCTGAGATGATGAAAGGTGACTTCATTTGAGTACTTTTCTACCCAAAATGGGCATGTCAAATTTCATGAGATAAAGATCTCCCAATGGTTTAGAAAGTGAATGCCTCAAGGCTGCTTAGAAACCTGTGGCAACATGATGACAATACAATAGTAATGTGCTATTTGGTATAAAGGCTCCACAGGGTAGAGCAACGACTGCATCTGTCGACATGGCTTTTCTCTTCTTGTTTCAGGAACGGGACAAAAATATACTTACTAAGATATCCTTTGAAATAAAATATCAAATTTCTTTTTTGAGTCTCTCTTTGGCTACTGATTTTCACAGCCTTTTTCAAGTGTTTTTTGACTGTTTCTTTAAACATCATGGAAGTCATCTCACCTATTAATATATATGTTACAATGCGTAGAGTGATTTGATAATGGTGAATGATTAAAATATTGTGATTTGGGTCTGACTTTGAAAAAGAAGGAGGAGGAAAAGTCACAGTAAAAGCATAAAAACCAACCAAACAAAAAAACTTACTACGTAAAACTAACAAATAATAGCAACATGGAAAGTAATTTTCACTGAGTGGCATCCTGATGCACAGTTTAATATAGCAAGGCAGCACTATTCAAAATATGGCAACATATTCAAATCCAAGAGATTGTCATCCTGAGGAAATGCTTTGCATGACAAGGCACAGACTTATTTGTACAAATACTTCTGTGTCTGTGATACTGATATCACAGATACATCCAAATGTAGTATCTGCTTACTACTGCAGAATAAAAAGAAACTTGAAAAAACGTTTTTTTAAGAACATCAAAAGTACTGATGTACATGTATTTCTAAGTCTTTTCCTACTACATGAATGCAGTCAATATTTTTTTTTCCTGGAAATTAGTACAGAAATTGGGGAGATTTTAAAGATAAATTCAGTGTACATGGAGAAACTGGACATCTAGAAAGGCCCCCACTGAGCTGCAGTCAGTTACTGTGCTACACACAGGAGAGCAGCTTGACAGCCTGATACACCCAGCACTGATTGCAGAGGGATCTTCACTGTAACTCCTCAGGGGTCTTCTACATTTCTATGCTACATGGTCAGCCTCAAGAAGGTCATAAAGTTAGAAGCAATAAGGAACACACAAGTAAGGTTGATCAGGAATAACAAAACAAAGAGAAGTCATGATTCTTCTAATTCCCTCCCCCTCTTTCCTCCCCTCCTTCTTCTTAACAGTGATTCCTTGTATGAACTGGCAAACACTTTCAGCTATTTCCAAGTAACATGAAAAAAAATAAAGGAAAGAGAGTTGGGCCAAGGTTCCTTGGCTAAGCTTGTAAGACCCCTCTGCATTGACACCTAAAATTTTCATACATAAAATAGTAGCCTGAAAATTAACAGATTTATTCATAAGGAAAAAAAGGAAAACAAAGAAAAAAATAAAACAAAACAAAACAAAAAACCCCACCAAACTTCAGTTAAAAGAAAATGTTGGAACTGCTTTAGATGTAAAATACAGGTCAGAAAAACTACCCTGATTTTAATTCTTGACTGGTATTAAATTTATGATTGGATCTCTCTGGCTTCAATGTAGGTTTTTTTCCTGTCCTTTCATATTTGACATATTCTTTAAGATGACATTCTGGGATATACGTCACAAAATGCTAGTGTTTCCTATATACAGCTTTATACTATTCTAATGCATACTGTGAGCTTCTCAGAAGAAATAAGAAAGTGTAGTTTCTGTTCCCAATTGTTTTTCAACTTCTTACTATAATTATGCAAAATTTACAAAGAGACAATGAGAGAAGGGGATTAGAAACAGAGTTCAGGAAGTGTGGCACAACACAAACATTTCAGCTCAGGTTATTGCTCTCTTTCATGAGAAATGCAGTTGCAGAGGAATTCCACAAATGAAAATGAAATCTTTATACTGCATTACATCACAATATGTTTGTTTCTCTGTATATTTAATATGAACAAAAAATGAGGAACATTCGGACAGTCTAGGAGAACTGGAATTGTAGACAGCATCCATACTGAAGTAGAAAGAGGAGGATATGACTATACTTCTGACGTAGCAAAAATGGGACCGTACAATCCCATCACTCCTACTTAGTTTAAATATTGTTTCTGGTTAAAAAATGCTTAATAAATGCTTAATAAATGCTACAAACCCAATTTCATATGTCTCAAAGAAAATAAAAAGCAGAATTTACTGCTTTCTGTTCATCCTGGAAGCTTAAAAACAAAAAACACCCTGAGGATAATATGCATTTTATTTCAAAACTTGATATCTTACGATTTTGTAACTTCAGAAAAAAAATGCAGTATGTTATTGGAATACAAAACAATGAAAGAGTAATGAAAACATAGAAATGGAAATTACAGGCATAGGGCACTGAGACTTTTTTTTCTGATAAAGCTTCAGAAATCCCAGTACTAGTGAACAGACACTGGTTGCCACAGAAGTTGTCAGTATTCTGGAAAAACTGCAGCTGTACTTTGAGTCCCACAGACAGCTAACTTCTGACAGCTGTGAATGGTTCTTTGTAAATGAGACTTCTCTCTTTGACTCAAAGCTGAGCTTCTGGAAACTCTCCAAAACAGCCACTCTTGTGTGGCTGAAAAATGCTCTAAATGCATGCTAGGAGGTGGCATAGCATACTAGGCATATCCAAATGTGCATAAAATCTGCTGATGCTCTATCTTTCCCCATATAGGGATTGCAAGTTGTCTGTTTTGCACTTCCTGTATACTTAAAACTGAGGAACAACAGTAGATAAAAAGAGTACCATAGGCATGCAGGGTCAAAACCACATTGCAACAGAATGCTATTGAGCTAATGTAAATGGTAACTTAGGTTTCAATTACACAAGCACCCTGTCAGAAAAATAACCTCAAAATGTTTGATGATGTTAGAAATAAAAATTACTTTTTCAACAGCATGATTAACTCAGCTGAAACAGAATTTGTTTCAACAGTATCTTTTCAATTATTATTCACTCAAGCTCAATCAGAGTTGGTGAGATTTCCACTGCTTTCTTGATAAGGAATGTATTTAAAAGCCTGTCCTTAACAAAATTTTCTGTTTTTAACCCCACAGCCATTAAGCTTAGGAAGCCTATTGATCATATGCTCTGATTTTTTTTCCCTATTTTGCGAATGACACACTTACAGCATTCTTAATGATTAATATGATGCTGCCACCTTAGACATCATTTAGGCAATCTGCACACCCAGATTCTCCAAGGTATTTAGACACTGAACTTCCACTGACTTCAAATATGTTTTCAAAAAGCTGTTAGATGCATAAATGTGTTCCTCGGGGTCCTCAGCTCTTTTTCAAATGCCTCCATTTTATGTAGATTCATTGTCAGAAAATGGCATGTGATATTCCAGTTGCAGTTACCACAGATACATTCAATTCTTTATTGTATATGAGTTACAGGATTATCAAAATACCCAAACTCACTAAGTATGCACCCCTGTGTGATGCATGCGTGAAAATTTAATCTAAAAGAGCAGATTTGGCTTTAATGTTATGGGGTCTAATTAGTAGTGGATAGTGTAGAAAAATTACACCTATATTCACATACCCTGCATGTAGGAAAAGAGCAAATGCAGCCACTGTGTCTTGGGGAACTATGTGATCACTTTTCCTCTGTAGTTGTGTAGCATCTTAAAGAAGGCAGATGAGTGAGGAAAGACGTATTAGTATCAGGTAGCAAGGCACACACCAAAAAAGAGACAGTAGTACCTGTGGATATAACATAGGAGAGTTATATATACAAGATATGTGCTGTCCTATACATACATGCAGATGCACACACACATATATATGTACCTAGGAAAGTTACATCTCTAGGATCTTCGTATCCATTCTCCCATCTGCAGAGCCACTCCTCTTCATGTTTCTCTTGGACTGATACTGCAAGCATTTTCCTCCCTTATCACGCAGCTGTATCAGCTTTCAGTGGGGAAGAACCTTATTCAGGTGTGAGACTGACCTTAAAAATCTTTGGGAAAAGCAGATTCAGTACTGCCTTCGAAATATAATATGACCATAGGCTATATGAAGCAAAAGCAAGTGTATGTATTTGACCTTGTATTGTTACTTTCTTGTATCTGCAATACAGAAAATACTGAAAGAGAATAGGAGAGTATACACCAGAAAAAATGCATTTAAGAATTAAAATTGTCCTGCTTTAGTGCAATCCATTAAGAAAAGACTCTATTTCAGCATTTTTCAGCAGGTAGTAGGTGTCCCAGAATGGATTCAGAATTTTTCAGTATGTGTTATCTTGATGATTTCAAAGAACTGAATTATCATCATCACAAAGTTAATTCACAGAGGAGTAAAAAATTCCATGCTGTGAAACTGAATTCTGAAGTCTTATTCAGTTGAAAGTTTTGGCAATTACAGTCTGGTGCATTTATGTATTTTTTCATTTTAATGGAGAGCATCTTGCAAAGAAAATGATCAGCAGGAAACATGTAATACCACACAGTAGACTTCATCCGGATCTCAAAGTTCATCTCACATTAATCTTTAGAGTCTCTGGAACTGGTTTCTATTTACATGAGAATATTCAAGAGTCTGGTAATTAGAACCATTTATTCTCCACTGAAAAAATAAGATAGGCATGTGGGGTGGAAGGAAAGAAAATAATATCTGCACATTCTATTCTGCAGAACTGAGGAGGATTTTTCCTTTGACTGCAAAGTTATCTTTTCTAGGTCTTTGTAAACTCTATGCTGCTTACAAATATATTTTTAAACTTGAAAATGTAACTGTAAGCACTGACCTTCAGTGATTGAGTCATTTCACATCTTTAGTGGAAAAGTCACCAAAGGAAACTATAACTTTTTTAAAAAGTGTTGTCAGCGTGTGGAGTATCTCGCCAACATTGGTAACTACTATGCTAAGCATTGCAGCTCCATACAGCTCTTTTTATACTGGTTAATTTAAATCACTGAAAAAGTAACCCCGCTGTTGTTCATTTAGAGTTTGAAAAGGTCATGCCAAACTACTGTATGAACAAATTGAATACTACAGTCAGTTACTGAAAAGTCATTCCTGGATTGGAATGCCAGGCTAAGGCTGCTTAGATCATTTGAAAGATTATTAACTGACTACTATAAATGAAAAAAGGATGTGTAAACAAGCCAAATGAAACAGAGTAAAAATATTAAATGTTTAGATCCATAAATGGCTTCTTAAAATTTAAAAGCCTAGTCTGCTATGCTCAGAGCTTCCTCTGACTGCAAAGAAGTGGTTTTGAAACCTGTCAATATGAACAGACCATTAAACTCATGTTATCAAGTTCCTTGGTGAAGATTTCTTATCACTGAACTTCTGTATGAAAAGTGTAGTCTCACCACATTTTACAATAAAATAACATGCTGTGAGGGGTACACTCTTCCTGGAATGTTCCTTGAATGATGTATTTGAGACAGCTGAACCAAATACTCTGTTTTTAATGATCCATAAAACCAATAATTTGGTATCAAATTACACTGGTGTTCAGAGACACGGAGCTGGAAAGATATGGAAAATAAATGAAAAAAAAAAAAACCACCCAAGATATTAACTTAAGCATAGAAAATATATTTTATATAATAAAATAAATATAGGATTTGTGGCAGAATCAAGTCATATTAGATGTTTTATAAAGAAACCAGAACACTACCACAATAAACAGACTAGCTGCAACAGAATAACAAGAAGAAAGAAAGTAAAATCCCAGTTAGCAGTTTTCAGAATACTGTAAGATATCAAAAAGAAAAGCCCCAGAATTCTTCTGGTAAAGCTCCTTGATATTAGCTTATAGCATTTAGACTGAAAATCCCATGGGGTGGTACTAAAGCCAATGCCTTCATATGGCAGTTGTTTTTAACTTCTTTTTAAAAAAACAGTTTTATAACTGATAAAACCATAGAGCTAACCTAACATTAGACATTTCCGACATCCTCAATATAAGCAAGTGTCATTATCTGGTATCGGTATCAGTATCAGTATAAGTGCCATTATCTGATTAAGTTGTTGATGGTAGAGTTGAGGACAAGGTAGCTGTGATAAGTAAGATAAGGCTGGAAAGAGGAGTTATTCCTCCATTTCTGAACTGGTATAAACATTATAATGGCTATAACTTTCTTGTTGGAGCATATGTGTTGAAGGATATGACAAGGGGAGAATTCTTGGAAGACTTTTCTTGTAGATTTCAGGTAGGTATTAGGATGTAGATGATGCAAGTATGGCATGTCACTCATGCTAAAGTGCTTTGTTAAGTACTTGACAAGAGATGGCTACTGATTCTCCATGCTCCAAAACCAAATGGTCTGCAAAAAGTTAGTAGGTCAGAAAATAGTGCTGGAAAAAACTCAGCAGAGAAATGAAGACATTTGAATTAATGACTTGGTTTTAAGACCTACAATATTTTCCACTCAAATATGAGGAAAAACTACTTCACGGTGAGGGTGACAGAGCCCTGGAACAGGCTGCCCAGGGAGGTCGTGGAGTCCCCTTCTTTGGAGATTTTCAAGACCCGCCGGGATGCAGTCCTGCGTAATGTGCTCTAGCTCTAGGCAATCCTGCTTCAGCAGGGGAGTTGGACTAGATGATCTCTATGGTCCCTTCCAACTCTAAAAATTAAGTGAAATTCAGTGAAATATCAACCAAGTATGAATTTCTCATGTGCACTATTTTTCTTTTGGGAGATGTGAAGGGGGAATATAACGCTAATTAACTCTCGATCAGGCTTGTACTGAATTATAACACATCATGGAACATTTTTATACAGGTTAACAATAAAAATTTCTGTTATCAGTCTGACTCAATCAAACATAATTTTTGTCTACCTCAGAATCTTTTCTCCCTCAGATTTGTTAATTTATCTGTTTTATGATTAAATACTTCCCACAGTCACAACCTCAAACTCAGATTTCTCATTACTAACCTTTAAAGAACATAACATAATACTGTAGACCTTTCATGTAAGCAGCTTCTCTTGATTTCTGAAACTGAGGTAAGCAGCATGAATGCTTACTCATTTTTAGTGAGTTCTGGCATTGCCAAAAATAGGTTATGGAACTTGAGTTTCTCCCATCTAGTTTTCAGCACTTACAAGAGCCTTTAAATTATCTTTAATCCCTACTTTTCCTGAGGGACAAAGGAACATAGTCAACTGAAAGAAATGGCTATCTTGAGAAGGTGACTCAGATCTTAAGGAGGCTTTCAACACTTGTTTATCATTAAGTAGAGGCAGCCTAGAGCAAATAAGCCTGGTTAAAACGGACTCCAGTACCTGTGCTTGAATTTTTCCAGTAAGAGCAGCTAGTCTCCCACAGGAGGGATTTCTTGCCTCTTCGGGGTTAGGTGTCACAAAAGAGCTCTTCTGAGCTGAACTGTTTTGAATTATATTTTGATTACCTGAAGTACATCTCAGTCCCCTTTCAATATGTAAGTCCCTGAACTTATCCACAGGTTTAACTCAAGTCATTATTTAATGTATTTCTTAGTTTATTGAAGCTTTAACTTTGAAATTTGTTATCAACAAATTTTTACTAAAATTTTGTTTAAAAAAGAGATAATAATATGATAATAATAAATGATAATAATAAACCCCACATGATGCCTTTTCTCAGGTGCTAGTTTGTCTAAACTAGCAAAACTGTATGACACCTTCTCTATTTCTTATGAGTGTATTTCAGGAACACAAATTTTAGTCCTACTGGAAAAAAGAAAAAAAAATTGTATAATAAATAATGATAAAATAATTTGGGAAAAAAAAATATTTTCCTTCTCTTGGAACAGTTTAAAAGTTCTGTATTACTGGTTCGACTGTCCACTGACATCACATACTGCAAGGTAGAATGTAGAAAGAGAAACAGACTTGTTAGTGAAGAACTTATAAGTAGTTGAGGTTTAAATCTTACCCAGTACAAATGCAGGAAATATTATAATAGGAAGATATGGGATGAATGTTACCTACTACAACTACTTTGAAAGAGTGAAAATGTGAACTTGAAATGGAGAAGTACCAAAAAGAAAAGTGAAGACTCTGCCCAAAGGTTTTGTTACTGGGGCTTTGATTTTTTTCTGGACTAATAGTATCAGTGGAGGGAAATACTACCAATATTGTTAGAATTTGGTCCAGAATGAAAAAAGATTTATGTAACTTAGGACATTCTGCAAGAAAATGCAAAGATATTTGGATTAGAAAAATGAAATAAAAAGGAATTGTAGTAATATGCTTATGCCTCAAAATCTAAGAGTATTAATAAAGTTTTTAAAATCATAACTGCAGTTCAATAAAGATTAGAAAAACAAACCAAAACCCAATGGAGTTGGGAACCCAAAACATCTAAATAGTATGTGCTAAATAAACATAAGAGATTATTAATTTACTATTCAACAGCTGTATGATAATGCAACATGAATCCATGATATGAAGTTTTTTTCACAAGATGAAAATCTTTATTATTTCTTACTCTACATAAGTAATAGCAATGATATGACATTTAAAAATAAAGTCTTTATTTGAAAGCGTATGCTGTCAGCAGCAGCATATGATGAATGACTAGGAATTAAATGCTTGTGGTATCTACAAGGGTCAGAAGGTTATTCATAATAGTACTAGATTTCTTCAGCTAAGAATTTGGAGTGATACCTATGGGACATGGAGGTTAATCAAATCAGCTTTTGTCAAAAGCTGAAATAAAAAATAAACTATGTGTGTTTTATAATAGTGTTTTGGGTGCTTTTAATGTTATTTTATACTTTGAGCATAACAAAGACAGTTACTCTATTTTATCTTGGATGTTGAGGTTAACCATTGACCTCTATTATCTGTATGCAAACAAAAAACTGCAGGTTGAAAATATTATTAAAAACAATGTAATATATAATGAAATGAAAGAAAATATGAATTAACAGAAAACCCTTTTCATTAAACATGATTTGTTGACTAAATAGTAATTGCTATGCTAAGGAAACATAAGCACAAAGCAAAGAAATTGATTGCTTATTATGGCATCCAAATGACATTTTAATCCATGTATAACAGCAAAAAAGGAAACAGACAAAAATCTCCACTTCTGGCTACACAGATCTGCTCTCACATCATTAATGCTAACAGCAATGTTCCACAATCCATATGGTCATCCACATCAATTTAACAGAATACCAAATGAAAAATACATGTTATTATAGATAGAACTATATACAATAAATTTAGTCATTCAGATATTTTCACCTGCATTTGCTAGCAACCACATGAATTATTTTTTAAAGAGAACGTAAGATTTTTCCTTTATTGTTAAGATTTTAAAAGCACATTTGCTAATGAAAGACCGAATTTTGATACAGTATCTGCCTTGTGATGAGTAGCACTGTATTTCCCCAAAGTCTCACCCAGATCAATAAGAATACAGATGACATGAAGCATAAATTAATGTTAATCTCGTTTGTGGTTATATTTAGGCATCCCTGGTTTTAATACACTGATTGACCATTCACCAATATGCATTAAGCCCACTTGATTCTAGGTATCAGCTAAATGCATCAAGCTAAATGCATTATGTCCCCATGATCACTAGAGAGGGACATGTATTTAGAATAGATTTCAGATCATATAAGCAAAATCAGCCTTTGGAGATGCCCATGTCACATTGTTACCTATAGGACAGTAAGATGAATTGGCCCTGATTTAGACACTGCGCATGGTTGCCTAGCAAGACTATTTCAAAACACACTACCTGTCTGCCTTTTAAAAGTATGTTTTATTTTATAAAGCCAAGTAAAATATTTCTTGCCTTTCCTACAATAGTTGATAAATTGTTCAACTGGAAAGAATTAATTTCATTTAGCACTCCACAGATGCATTTCAGAAGCAGGTAACATTTTGCAAAGGAAGACAGAGTCCTAACAAAGCCTGAAGCTTGCAGAACCTACGTAGGCTTCGAAGCACTAAAGTTTATCTTAGGCAAGACAGCATTCATGATTTACGTACTGATACTATTATTTATTAAACTTCTCTGTTGCCATTCATTTCAACAATATATTTGCATTAAATAAATGGATTGAAGCAAGACATAAAAGGACATTAAACTTTTTCAACATTTTACTATATTAAGAGTTAGATTCATTTTCCAGATGAGATATTACAGAGGGAGTTCTGAGAAATGAATTCATTCAATAAAGCTTTCCATATTCCATATACAACATTTCAGTTAAGTGAACTCACTTTGCTTCAGTTCCTGAAATGAAGCCTGGGGATAATATTTCCTTTCGTGTCTCCTTCATCTGCTTTTTCTAACTTTGGCTGCAAATTTCCAGGTAGCCAAGTACCGTTAAGTAACTTTGCACTATTCACTTGCCACTGGATTTCAATAGGACTTATACTCTCACTCCCACTGATTTTTCTCTAAATCACAGGTTGTAATATGACAATATGTATTGATACTATCTAGTTAGATAGTTCTAATGGAGAATCCAGAAGCCATTTGCAACTTCCAGTTATCGCAACAGTACCAATAAACATAGTGAAATCCCATGTGGCTTTCTACTTAAGGAGGATGAACACGTCCTATAGTGACATGTATAGAAATCTAGAGCTGAAACTACATGAAATCATAAATTTCATACTACTTCTATGCAGAAATACACTGTTCATCAATTTTTTTTCCTCCGAAGACTGTATTTCTCTTTAACAGAGGTTATGAAAGGGTGCTTGACATGTTATAATTAGTGATAGAATAAGACAAATAATGTTTGTGGGGTGTTTTGATATTAACTACGGTGTATCATACAGTTATTATTACTTTTTTCCCCCTTTTTATTTGGTGTATTATATTTTTAATGTCTTGCAAGATATCTGTATACTTTATATAGAAAATATATGCAATATAGACACTTTTATTACATGTATCCTTATCCTTTTTCTTTTAAACTAATAAATTCAGTGGTAAACTAATAAAACACCCATCCAATTCAGTTATTTTACTGATAGCAAATCACAAGAAATCTCTTACTTGTGTTTTCCACTGGTCTACAAAAATGATTAAACGCCCTTGCTCACAAATCATGTTCTATTCCTTCATTTTGAACAGTAAAGCAGCAGTCCTCCTCCTTCCATTTCCTAGTGTATAGAAATTATAAATTTATTATCAGTTACAATAAATAGTAAGCTAACAGAGTAAAGAAACAAAAGGCCAGTCCTTACATATCACTCATCTTTTTATGTACTATCATAAAAAATGCAATCAATAAAGATACTCAAGCTATCCTACTCCCAGCCTATGGTTCAAAGAATATGGGACACCACCACAGTATCTTTAAAAAATGATTTTCACTTTTGTAAAAAAAATTGTCCCATCTCTTTCTTGAATTGACAGCAGTCTTGTCAACTGACCAAATATATTTAAATTAAATTTAATTTAAAATTGGCAAGTGAAAATCCAAACTTAATATCAGATTATCATATCTGTCTTGATACAAGTTGCTTTCACTTTGACTTTCAGTCATTTTACTTCCAAAGAAGAACCAGTAGTATGAAACAGACAAGGCTGACAGAGAACAACAAGCTATGGTTCATGAATGCATTCATCAGTTTGTGAGTTTTCAGTGCAGTGAACTTGTAACTACCTCGCCTTTGGCTAAAAAGACTGTGGATTCAAATCTTACACCAAGACCATGACTCTCTTAAAACCAGTAGAGACATTCTAACAAACTTATGACAAATTAGTAAATAACTTTAAAATAAAACCTCTTTCCCTAATACCAAATTCTTAGACTATGCATGATATAAATGTCCAGCAGTAAAATGTTTAATGATGCTAAAAGAGAGTAATTGTTCCCTACAACTTCAAAACAAGTAGGATCAGAATTAATTTCAGGATTACTTATTGCAGGTTCAGAAAAGCAGCTTTTCTATGGTCGTGTTTTGAATAATATTTAAAAAGATGAAAGTAAGTTTGTTTGGTTGGCTTTTAAGTAAAGGTCTATATATTGAGGAAGAAAAGGCACTGTCAAGAACTCCCAGTTTCCAGACATCAGTGCATGCATCTTAGTGTTCTACACGCCGTGTTTTGATGTTACAGGAAATAACTTTTTAATTCTCTGAGGTGTCTGCCCAAGTATCTTGCTTATTCTAACTGAAAGGATATATCTTCACACCTCTTTGCATTTTTCCTTTACTTTAGAAAAATAATCATAACAATAATAAAAATTGTAAAAGTTCTCACGTAATAATGGCTGCTGACTTTGATTAAACAACTAGCCCACGAGGAGAATATTTGCATAGCAACTAATAAAAACTTGATTATGAAAAGAATTATGGCATAAACCAAAGTATTTTCTATTACTAGTCATCTATTTAAACATTAATTGTAAGGGTTAAATGGCTGTACAATCCATCAAAGGCCTTTAATTCTTCAAACATCCCATTTATCAGGATGTTTTGAAGAAGCTAATCACAATAAACATGTTTCTTCATCACTCTTAGACATATATAATTAATTAAAAGTTTACTATCTGAAAATCCATTCTTATACCAAACTGCATGAATAATTTTAAAATTATGACAAATTTACCAAATAGAAAACTTAAACCAACATATTTTTCAGAAGATTTTTTTCCTGTTATATATGTATGACTATGCAATATCAAAAAGACCACTCTAAGATTACATTAATATCCATTGTTTTTAAAAGTTTATTTTTAAATCTAACTGTACAATCATGAATCTATTAATATTTCCTTCTCAGTAAGGTGCAAGAAATTTGTCAAACAAATCCCTAAAAATGACAAAGTTTACTGCCATGTTTTCTACTCCATCTGTATAATTTCTCTTTTTATCCTCCTTCAGTTATTATTTTCAATAAGCAGTTTCCTACACACAGGTGCATATAGGGACACCTAGTGGCAGTAGCTGATGAAAACTCCCCGGTCAGAAGATCTGGAGTCACCAGTGGTATGAAATCCAGATCACACTGAATAGCCAGAACATGGAACTTCAGTTCATTGTAAGGCTTCACTGCTTTTATTGGAGTGAGTCCATGTACTTAAAAAAAAAAAACCAAACCAAAAACAGAACAAAAAACCCCAAAACATTTCTGACTTCTTTTTAACACAACGTAACACAGTTATAATGCCTCTTAGGCAGAATGGTTAAATAATAGATTAATTTTTAAATACCACTATGTAAATAGAGCTTCATATTTATTTAGAAAAAGATCAAACTGTCTCATTAAGAGTCAGACTAGTCTATGTTAAGTGAATGCATTCATATATATATGTGAAACTAACATGTATCAGTTTTATATTTTGTAAATATATGTTTAAATACACAATGTAGAAATCCAAATTACTAGATTTGGTTTTTAGAAATCAGCTTGAGAATTTAGTTTTGGGGGGGGGGGGTATTTTTATAGATTACTATGTGTGCAGATAGGCTATCTTAAATAACACTTGCAAAAGTGTAGAACAACTGATTATTCTCAAGAAAAATTATTTGAATGATAAAATATAACGCTAACTGTTATCCACTTATAGTCAGATGGGGGTAAGTTTAAAAAAATATATAGATGCTCCTACCTATAATTTACAGTGTTTAGATCTAGATCCAGTATTCAGAAACCACTGAAATAGACTAAGTTCTTGCTGGGTACCTTCATGTGCCTCAAGGATCTACATTCCTTGCTGTAAATTTTACTGTCATTAACATTTGACTAGGAAGCAATATTTTCCCAGACATTAGAAATCACATTAGTGCAGCTACTACTGAGACACTTGGAAGTCTAATTTGCAATCACTGATTTTCAATTTCTGACTTCCCTTGCTTGTTTTTCTTGTGTGGAATACTTCAATAGAAATTCTCATGGGATACCTAAGGAAAAAGATAGGTCAGCCTCTATGTTTGGAGACTCATCATATTAAAGTTTCTATTATCTAATCTGGAGTAAGAATTTTAACCCAGCTCCTTCTATTGAATGTTTTAACTATTAAGACAGAAAACACCTGGTAATTCACTGAGATTCTCCTGTTAAATCTGTTTTGCTTACTGTCGGAAAATTAAAGCAGAAAGAAAAGAAGAATAAATATAATAGATTTGTAACTTAGGGTTACCCCTGTGTGTAAGAGTATGTATAAATCTCTGTATAAATTCTATCCTATAATTTCCAACAGAAAAACCAAGAAGCCACCCCAGAGGAAGTGTTCAGACCCACATGAAATCAGAATCCTTGTATTTCAGTTATTATGGGTAGATTTAGATACATAATATTAGAATATTGGATGTAATATAATTTTAATTATTTGATAAACAAAAGTAAAGCAAGGAGATAAGAGAATTGAAAAGCCAGATCTAATGTATAATGACAGAACAGTTTAGGAAATTTTAGAGATTTTTTTTTCTACATGTCACTTAATCCATTACATGACATATTGAGAATGCTGAAAGTTTAGCAAGTATTTTGGGGAGAACGGAACTGAGTTGAATATGATTTTCATAAGAAGTAGTAATAGGAAGCACAGGAAGACAGAGCTGGAAGAGACATTCTAAATTTCTACATCCTCAGAGTTGTGGGTTACCATATACTAGATATGTAGTACAAATAAAAAATAAAATAAAATAAAATAAAATAAAATAAAATAAAATAAAATAAAATAAAATAGTCTACAGCACTTTTACTCCAGATGGTGCTACACACTTTCCAGTACTGAAACAAACCCTTTAATTTTGCAGTAAAGACCCAAAGCCAGACCTCTAATAGTCCTTGGGAAAGAGAAAAAAGGCGGGAAGAATAGGAACAAGGGCACCGCCAATGGTCTACTGAGGCCCCTGCAACAGAAGGAAATATGTTAGAAATTGCTTGCAGAATGTTTTAGGAATTAAAACATGCCCCACTTCACAAAGGAAAACAAAAGAAAGAAAGAAATTAACAGATTCAGAATCTAAATTATACAATAAGGGAAGAAAACATCCTTCCCGACCTAAGAGCCTGCAGTGAACCCTGAGGCAGAAAACAGATACAGTATAAATGTAGAACAACCATATTCCATCTTGTTCAAAAAGATCTTTTCTTCCTAACTCAGCACAAATGTCACTTTCCTAACAGGAGCTGTCCCATTCAATCGCACAATGCTTTCTGTAAGCTTTTCAAGTTCTGTCTTAAAACAACTTTGGTTTATTGGCCTGGTTACCTATTTGGAAGACATTTCCAGTATCTCATTTCTCAGATGGTCAATAAATTTCTTCACATTTCTATGATATGTTAAAATATAGTCAATACATAAGTATTTGATGGCATGCCAACGTAAGTGTTTAGTTCAAACACTGTCTGCCTTTTTACAGTTTTTAACTATAAATGCATTTGTAAGGAATCACGTGCCCTTTTAATAGCTATTTGGCTTTGTATGCTTTTTTTTTTTTTAAATAAACTCTTTTGTAGACACATTTTCCATACTGTAATTACCCTAGTTTCTTTCTGATCTTTAAATTTTGTTTTAGATCTTCTCTGAATGTATTACTAAATCCATGCATAATAATCATGACTTATGAAAAAGCACATCATTTACAATAGTATTAATTCTGTCCCACCTATCAGAACCACAAAATCATCCAATAGTTTGGTTTGGCAGGGACCTTTAAAGGTCATCCAATACAACTCCCCTGCAATGAGGAGGGACATCTGCAACTATGTCGGGTTGCTCAGAACCCCATCCAACCTGACCTTAAATGTTTCCAGGGATGGGGCATCTATCATCTATCTGGGCAACCTGTTCCAGTGTTCCACCACCTTCATTGTCATTCCTTATATCTAGCCTTATCTACCCTCTTTTAGTTTAAAAACTTTACCCCTTGTCCTATCACAACAGGCTCTGCTAAAAAGTCTGTCTCCATCTTTCCTGTAGGTTCCCTCACAATAAGATCTCCCCAGAGCTTTCTCTTCTCCAGGCTGAATAACCCCAGCTCTCTCAGCCTGTCCTACCAGGAGAAGGAAGACCCCATCTTTTAACATCCATCCCACTTATTTTACTTACATGGCTTAAGTTTTTTACTATATTTCAGTTTTCTGTGCAAGTTTTGGTTTAACAAGGTTTCGCACCATTCTTTCTTTGCTTTTTATACCTTCTAATTATTGATGCAGATTTCTCATTGCTAATCAAGGACTCTTTTCCATTCATTATAAGTTTTGTGCTTATCCTTAATAACTTGCTTAAAGTTTTTACCTTCTGGGAATTCTTTTCATCCCTGATGTTTGGGGTTTTTTTTCCTTCCCCTCTCTCCCAGTGTAAACATTCAATACTGTTTGCATTTTTTTACATAAAGTAATATCATGCCTGATCCGAATTCTAAGTGTGGTGCTTCTCCCTCAAAACTATCTCCCTAAATTTTTTTGTTTCTTGGTTTGCCTTTCTGAAACACTGCACTGTGCTACAGATCCTCCACATTTTCTGTCTTGCAACTTCACATAAAGTGGAAAAGCTCAAAAGCACCAGATTTAAGATTATCTTCTGTCATCAGTTTTTTCTGCAGATCCAGCCATTTACTGAAATTAAGCCTAAATTATCCTTGCCTCTTGCTTGCTCAATGTCTATTACATAGACGTAACGTCTTAGTCAAATATCTTGTTCAAATTCATATCAACCCCAGCATCATTGGTTGAATTTTTTTCTGATATTTGCTTGGGAGAAATCACACAAATTTGCATGATCACACCATATGAATTTTTACTTTTTTCCCCGAATTTGTAGGCATTATTATCCAGATCAAATCTGTACCAGTAGACTAGACTGATGTAGCCCAGGATACGGTTGGCCTTCTGGAATGCATTGCCATGAAGCCTTTTTTCTACCCTTTGCTCGATGATTTTCATTCAAGCAGACACTATCTCATTTTCACCCTCAAATTTAACTTCCATTGCTTAACAATCTTTACCCCTTAACAGTTTTTAGTGTATTAACATGAAATTATTCCACCACCTTTTTTGTCTTTCCTAAACAGTGCATATCCATCACTTCCAAAATACTTCATGTACGACTTCGATACTTCCATGTTCCTGTTTTTCCATAATGTCTGGTTCCACACTCTGTATCAACTCTTCCTGCTACTCTCATTGATCAAAGTACTACAGAAAGGGGCTAGACCTTTTACACTTAGAAGTTATTTTAAATATAATCCATGTATTCATCGTATATTTTAGTTTAGCTATCTTTTCTGTTGTTCCATCCTCCGTCACATCCCTCTATTTGTATTTCATATCAGGATTATATGAATAACTTCCAATTTTCCTCCGGAGTTTTTCAGTTTAAACGTTTGTAGGACCTCCTGGTTTAACGAAAGCCAGATGAAAGATAAATTAGAAAAAGGGAACATGCTATAGCAATAAAGGTCTCTATTTCTCATAATTTAGCAGCATTTATTGTTTGATGTTAGTGTGCTCATGTTTATAATGACAGTCCTAGATCAAATATTCTGAGCTAACTTTCCACTGTAAGGAATACTTTCAAATTATGTAGACTTCATTCAAACAGAGTCAAATTCCTTACTGCTTTCAGAAAGGAATACAGAGATGTGCCCTCTCATGCTAGTCATGCATATTTAAATAAATATTCTGCCAAACTCTACAGAACTTTAAGGTATTTTACTAAAAATATAATGTTAATCAAAGTAAGAATGAATGGAACAGCAGCATGATAGTTCTACAATAATGTTAACCTCATGTGTGCTACTAAAATAATCTAGCAGTCTAACAACTTGGAAGTGAGATTTTATTAAATTGGATTTTCTATTCATTATGCTTTTTAATATCTTATTAGCCCAGCCCCAGAATAATTAAACTGAAACACATGTACAATGCTGACCTTTACATAATAGTTTTAAGATGATTTTATAAGGTTTAGGAAATGTCAACTTTTCCGAAACGGTTTCATTGAAAGAGTTAAGCTCAGTCTGGCTGCCGGGATTATTTAAAATACCTTTCTCTCTTATGAATAAAAAGTATTTATCTGTGTCTAATTTTGTGTATCAGAGAGAAAAACAGCATAGAAACACAGACAGTTGCTATAAATACAACAGGCCTTAAAAATATAAGTGTATATGCATAAAACCCCATATACTCAAAATACAGAATTATTAATTCAGAACAAAAACGTTTTTCAAAAGTAGTGAGGTCATACAAAATGCCTGTAAAACATCCCTATTTACTATCTCTGATTTTTTTTTATTGCACTACCATCATATATTTCACATGGAACATTAAAAAAGATTTAAAGAGTGCGCGTGTCTGGGGGGAAGTGCCTAGTGTGCTTTGGTATTGCCTTCCTGACTAAAACTAGTCTCCTGGCACTCAACCTAAAGCCACTCAAAACCTTTCACTGAATCAACTTTTTTTTTTTTTTTTTTGCATCAAAACAGAAATGTCAGAGATTCTTTAATAACAGAAGTAAGTATTTTGTCCCACTGAGAAGCTTTCCAGAAGCTTCTACAAGGAATTTTACCTGATTTATAGAAGAAGTTCCATCCAAACACCAGATCTTGCTTATTTCAGGCCTAGGGAAGAGGAATTGAGTCACACTTCTTTTACATTTGCAAAGAGAAGAATACACCCTTTAGGGAAGGCTGACCATTAAGAAAAAGGTGATTCTTTACAATCATCCCTGGCTTTAGTACGGGATGTTAAGATACAAGTTGACAGAAGTCTGCTGGAGATACAGAGGTGAGAAATTCACTTTTGCTATGCATGGTATTCTTCCCTTTTCAGTGTTTAGACTCACAGAAGGCACAACTACATCTAGCATTAGCTGGATTCCAACCTCTGTGCTGTGCACATGGGATGCAGTTTATGTATTCCTGTATGCAGAACACCTATTTGATTTACATACTAAGATTCACACAGCGCATAACAGTAATGAACACACAATTGCGAACACGTGCACATCTCTGCATGTAACCAATTAAACTACCTTTTTTTTTTTTAAATTTTGAAGATCAGCCAAACACACATAATTTCGCGGCAAATAAAATCCTAAAGCTAAACGTAAAGAAACCCATCATCATCATTGCCATAGTAAGCTTTGCTCGGAAAAAAACCCGAAACACCCTCCACCTTCCGTAGGCAAACGCAATAACGGCAGTTTCTCCCAAACGGCAACAAAGAGAAGGCACTCAGCACAGCGTCGCGTCCCCCGCCTCTCCCCGCAGCCTTCACCCACGCCCCCCCTCCGGGCCAGCACCACCGCGGTGTCCCCCCCCGACGCCTGCCCGGAGGGGCTGCCGGCGACTGGGGTACCACGACCCATCCGCCGCCCTGCGCTGCCACCTGGCGGCGGCGGGAGGTACAGCACCGCGCCGCACCGCGCCGCGGCGGTAGCCCGCGGCCGGCCAGGCAGCCCCACGGCGGCGGCCACCCTAGAGCGCCGCCGGTACCGGGGCCTCCCCTCGTTATCTCGGGGAGCGGGGATGAAGGGCACATCCTCAGAGTCGCTTAGTTGTCGCGGCTGCATCCCCCCTCCGCGCCCCGCCGCTGGGGTGGGCAAAGGAGGAAAGGTAAAATAACCGACCCCGACACAAACCACCGCGACCACCCTCTTCCCCGCCGTCTCCGCGGATGCAGCGGAGCCTTCCTTACAGTGAGCAGCGGCGACCGCCGGGCCACCGGCGACCGCCGCCCCGCTCAGCTCCGCGCCGC